GCCGTCCAAACCTCAATCATGAAATCCGCGAACGGCTTCTACGGCGTTGCGAGTAGAAGCAACGAAGAGCACGCCGATGATCACCACGTCGTACACGCTGAAGACTCTCTGCCGTCCGACCAAACCGACCGAACAATAGGCGTCGTGCCGCAGGCACCGCCCCTTGAGACGCCATCACCAAAACGGGACGAACCCTCAGCCAGGATACCACCGGCCCTGCCACTGCCGACTGTAGAGCCCCGGCGCATGGTAGACAAAGCGCCAGCCCCAGTGCCAGCGTCGCAGTCATCGCAGTCCTCCTCACTCCACATCGACGTGGAACCCTCTCCCGTGGGCGATGACAGAGGCACGTTCCACGTCGAAATGGAAACGGGCCTCATAATCGACAGCGACCTGAGGCCCTTCTGAGCGAAGCATATTCAAAGCGCCAGCTTCGCCCACCATCGCGGGCTGCGACAGCCCTGGTCGCCCGCCGAGTTGGCCGCCATCGATCTGGCGCAGGACGTCCATCTGGACAAACAAGCCAAACGAGGGCAGCCCAGCATGACAGCCAGAGTCCTGGCCTTCTTGAAGAACCGTTCCGGATGGGACCTGCAGAAAAGGACAGCGCGGATGTTCATCTCGCAAATGATCAAGACAGACGCCCGAGGGCGGTAGGTCAGCCGCGGCGGAGGTCTCCGTCACGGCGTGGGAGTGGCTGGCCACCCTCCCTTCAGACCGCTCCCGTCCGCCACGTCGGCGGGCGGGAAAGGCTCCCGGCGCGGTGTGCCACCGACCCACTGCACCGGGAGCGGCTGGCGCCTGCCGCTCGGGGGGAAACGGTAGGCGTGTGGACTCCCCGGGGGAGAGGCCGTTTCCCAGTGGCCCTCCCCGGAAGCCTCCGCTCGCCACGCTGGTGGGTGGAGGGTTCCTAGGCTGCCCCCTGCCCCCAGCCGGCCACGTGGATGTCGGCTCGGGGGCACAGTCGGGGATTTTCGGGCCCGCCGTGGCAGAGGACGGAGCAGTCTGCGTCACGGCGTGTGAGTGGCTGGTCACTCTCCGTTTAGGCTACCTTCGCCCCGCCAGGTCGACGGGCGAGGAAGGTCCCCGGTCGCGCCGTGCGGTCAGCCGGTAGCGCCGGGGGCGGCTGGCGACGGCCGCCCAGGGGGAAGCAGCGCCGTCTGGACTCCCGGGGCGGAGGCTGGCCTCAGTGTCTGCCTCTCCCGGACGCCTCCGCCCTACACACCAGAGGTCGGAGAAGGCCCTTGGTTGCCCCCTGTCTCCGGGCGGTTGCGATCAAGTCCGTTCGGGGGCACAGCTAGGGGCGTGTAAATATTAGTTTGTATATAGGTAGGACCCTCCCGACGGGCACCACCTTTACGTGGTGGGAGGGAATGAGTGTTGCCCAGTGGCGTCCGGATCACTGGGCAGCCAGACTGAGCGTCCCCAAATACTTATGTCGTAAGTTTGTGTTGCGCACTGTTGGGCGAAATATATCCTACGAAAATATTATAAATAGTATGAAAATAAATAAATAATATATATATATATACATAATAAATATAAAAATGAATATGAAAATATGATAAATCTATGTTACGAAAATATGAAATATATGACTGGCTGTGCTCGTGTGATTCTGCCCTGCCGTTCCTACCCTGCTGTTTCGGACACTTGGATATTTTTGAAAGCAAACTTTTTAGAAACAACGAAAGCGTATTTTGTAACGCGTACTCGTCACACGTCCGTAATGCGCCGTCGTCAACGCGTCAGCGGATTGCTCGGCTCGCTAACGAAAACAACGCACTTACACTGACACGTTTGATGTGATGCATTGCCTCGTTTGCTTTGTCTATGCTAATTATTAAATAAGCTGGATGTGGGTACCTGTAGTCGTAGTGTGTTTTTAGTGTCTCCATGTGTTTTTATGGCGCCCGCCGGCGCCGCCGAGCGGCCCCGCCGTTTATGAACTGACGCATGCTGCCTAGCGTGAGGGGGGGGGGGGGGGGCGGGAAGACGCGGCCCGACGACAAGGGTCGCGACGCTGTACTACGCGAGCGGACCACGACCTTCACGCCCGTTCTCTGATGCACGTTTGTGAGAAGGAGAACGCAAGTCACAGGAACGAAGCGTTACATTGGTGCCTCGGACCCGTATCAAGGACCTGCGAGTTATCAACGCTGAATCGTCCTCTCGCCTCACAACAAGGTACGGCTATAGGATTTCAGGTTCCAATCCACGCAAGCCATTCGAGTCGCTGGATAGCGGGCAAAGACTTGGATTTTCTGGCCTGTGGTACCTGTACTTGCTGGAAGCTATTGCACGACAGCTTCGCAACTGACTGACTAGACCGGTATTTTGGACAAGCCGTGTGCCTATCATTGCACATATTTAGAAAACCGTCGAAAGAAAAGGAAGCACTTCTGCTCTTGCCACAATCCCAACAAGCGGGATTTTTGGCAACTGTGTGGCATTTGTCATACGTGTCATACGAGCATTAGAATTGCGCACCGTCGAATGTTCGAGAACACCCCATCCCTTGTTTTTATGGCGCCCGCCGGCGCCGCCCAGCGGCCCCGCCGTTATCAGATGACGCATCCTGCGTGGCATGGGAGAGGGGCAGACGCGGCCAGACGACCGGGGTCGCGACGCTGTACTACACGAGCGGACCACGACCTTCACGCCCGTTCTCTGATGCACGTTTGTGAGAAGAAGAACGCAAGTCACAAGAACGAGGCGTTACATTGTTGCATCGGACCCGTATCAAGGACCTGCGAGTTATCAATGCTGAATCGTGCTCTCGTCTCACAAGGTACGGCTATCGAAGTCCAGGTTCCAATTTACAAGGGCAATTCGAGTCGCTGGATAACGGGCAAAGAATTAGATTTTCTGGCCTATGGTACCTGTACTTGCTGGAAGCTATTGTACGACAGCTTCGCAACTGACTAGACTGGTATATTGGACAAGCCGTGTGGCTATCATTGCACATATTTAGAAAACCGTCGAAAGAAAAGAAAGCATTTCTGCTCTTGCCACAATCCCAGCAAGCGGGATTTTTGCAAACTGTGTGGCATTTGTCATACGCGTCATACGAGCATTAGAATTGCGCACCGCCGAAGGTCGAGAACGCCCCATTCCCTGTGTTTGGAGGGCGCCGCCGATCATCAACTGACGCATACCGCGTAGCGTGAGAGAGAGAGAGAGAGAGAGAGAGGCAGACGCGGCCCGACAACCGGGGTCGCGACGCGACGCTGACGCTGCTCCTTGTTGTCCTTGCAGAGCGCGCAGCGCTTGGACGCCTTGGCCCGGCGGCGAGGCGTCTACCCGCTGGAGCGCACCGCGGGCGGGCTCGGCCCCGTCCGGGGCGGAGCGCCGGCTGCTGGGCCGTAGCGGGCCGGTAGCATGCGGCGCCCCGGCCGTCCCATGTCAGGACCGCCGTACTGGGGTGACGGGCTATGTCCTAGCCGTCCCACGCAGGATCCACTGAAGCAGTCTGGAGGCGGACCGCAGCTGCAGGGTCCCATGTCTGGGCCGCCGTAGCCGTCCTGCGGTCCGTGCCCCGGCGGGTCCACGTCGAAGCTCAAGCGAAGCTGGCAGCCGCGCTGGCGCTGGCCGTACCCCAGACGGGAGCTGCCCGCCACTCCAGCGGGCGGAGAAAGCCCTCGGCTGCTCTCTGCCCCCAGCCGACTGTGTAAGTCTGTTCGGGGGTGCAGGCGGGTGACTGTATACATTCGTTTGTATATAGGTAGGACTCTCCTGACGGGCACCGACTTTACGTGGTGGGAGGGATTGAGCGCTACCCGGTTGCCTAGTGTTGTTGATGTCATTGTTAACGTGGTTGATGTGTGTCGTACATTAACGTAGCAGTGACCGCTGAATCAGCTTCCAGTATGAGTCCACCAGTACAGGCAGCGACGGCAGATAGTGTGGAGATGGGGATAGCGCGCATGCCCCTATCTGGCACCAATTAGCCAGCGGCGCTTACCTTCAGCGCTTACCTAACACACATATCTTGGGGTCCGTGCCCCGGCGGGCCCACACGTGGGTCAGCACGTGGGTGACGCAGACGCGGGGCGTCTCCTTGTTGTTCTTCAACGATATCAGTACACATCAACATATCAACATATTTTTGGCATTGGTTTTAAATCAACAGCAGGTACAGAACTAGAGTTAAAAATCTCAAAGTTTGGCGACTTGTCAGATTTCGCGAAAAAACGGGGAGTTCGATGCCCTATAAGAAAATTTAAAATCGAAACTATTCGGGAAAATGTATCCTGATCGCCGAAACTGAGAGGAACTAAAGCGAAACCAAATCGTATCTCGAAAACTTTGCCCCTCCAAAATTTGTCAAAATGCTTTGATTGGCCTCCACTTCAGGATATGACGCCATCAGCATGCCAGGAACCCCAACATGGCATGAAAGAACATTTTCAAAAAAATATTTTTGGACTGTAGCATCTACTAGGTTACTTTAAATGTCATGTTAAAAAAACGGGTGCATTCGATGCAGAACATTGTTCTGCCTGCTTTGTACATCTTCAAACACTGATCTGAAAATATTTTTGCGGTCAAAGCACAAAAGTTTTTGGGGCCGGTTTTTCCTACTTGTTGTCTAACATAATAAAAAAATTGCAAACAAGGGACGTCCAGCCAGGGACACCGTCTCTTAAGACGCCACCCACGGAAGAATCACTCCGTAGGGCGTCACCGCCGGAAGCCCCTCCCCGTAAGACGATACCGTCAGAACGGCATCCATCGGCACGGCACACGTCGCCGCAGCCGGTCCTGACATAGTCCCAACAGACAGCCCCGCCGCCACCAGCTCAGGCAGTGGAGCCTAAAGTTTCTGGTGGTCCAGCGCCAGCGCCAGCGCGCCGGGCCATTCCGCCGGTTGGCCTCGCACCTGACCTGTTCGACGATGACAGAGAGATCTTATAAATGGAACTGAAACTGGCCTCGCTACCGACAGAAAGCTGAGGCCGGTCTGGGCGAAGCACGCACAGAGCCTCAGCTTCGCCCACCATCGCGGACGGGGACGTCAGTGGTTGCTCGCCCTGCTGCCGCCGTCGATTTCGTCCGAGAATGGGCCCTGGAAAAACAAGGGGAACGGCGTCAAGAGCAAGACAGAACCGCCAGAACCAACATGTTCCTGAAAACCGTCCCAGCTAGGATCTCGAGGCGAGAAATATCGATTCATCTCGCGTATGGTCAATAAATAAATTCGCGAGGACAGCGGGTCGGCCGCGGTAGAGGTTTGAACAGTCTCCGCCAAGGCGTGGCAGTGACTAGCCAGCCTCCCCTTAAGCCGTGTCCGTCCGCCGAGCCACTGGGCGGAGACGGCTCCCGGCGCGGCGCGTCCCCAGCGTAATGCGCCAGAAGGACCAGACACGTACGGCTTGATCCGTAATACCAAGTTTCTCAAACTGCCTCTTAGACTCCGTGACCACAACTATGACTGCAATATATTTCATTTGCCTTCCTTTTTCTGATAGGTTTTCTGTGATGATTGCAGCACACTAATTTGCCAAAATTGTTGTGTACTAAATGCTATGGAACCTTGAAACACTGTTATACAAAAAAGTTATGCAAACATGAAGCTAAAATCCTCGAATCCAGCGAAATGTTATACAACTGCTTTGACTTCTCCACTATGGCATCTATCACAGTGGCTCCTTTCGAGGTATACTTTGGCTTTGGAAATGGGAGCATCACATGGTTCAAAGCGACCCACTCATTCAACTTTGATCAATGCATTTCTCGGGACAGGCCCTTGCCACCCATTGGGCAAATTACAAACATTATCTTATTTGCACCAGTTAAGGTGCCATGGCTGTTGTCATGATGGCAATTGCAGCAACTGCATGGAAGAAGCAAAGTGCTGTTATAAAGTGTTGAAAGCGTAATTTGGGCTAGAGAATGACTAAACGTGGTTTTCTTATTATATTTTGAATGTTGTATTGGTACTGCCAAACCAAGTGCTGATATTAGATGCAACTGGTGTTGAGGTATCAACAGAGCATGGTTTTGAAATTTGCCCCAAAGGTGGAACACTCGTCTTCATTCTCAGGAAGGGCATGGCTGTCAACTGCACCAAATTGTCTTCAACATCACTGCCTTAGTTCAAAATCCCCATACAGATGTTGAAGACTCCCTTTAAACAATGTGATTTCAGTTCATCACTTCAATGAAAAGGAAGACAGGAAAGCTAAACTAACTTTTTACTAAGTTGCACCAATGAAATTAGTATCAGCAGCATTGCCCTCACACTTCTAAAACCTTAATTTGAGATGTGTCTCTCACAGGTCCACCTCTGGCCTGTGCTATCCCATCTAGCTAGTGACCTAGCTTGTAAAAGCCCAGTGTGCTGCAATGCTGACCTGGCATTACCCTATAAGCATTAGGTTGAGTGCAGCCTCTATTATGTATTGTTTCTTTATTTCAGACCCATGCATAAAATGTGTGAACATCGCATGACCAGCATGATCTTATACACAGTATAGCATTACAGCAGCTTGCCTAACACCAGTGATGTTGTGTAAAGAGCAGTGATGGACAATGAGCACCTGCCAGTGGATTTTGTTCAGTACTAAATAACTATACCTTACATTGTGATGTCAATAGCCAACTTCAAATAAGGAAGGGTGTTGACATGAAACAAGTACTCAATAACATGTACCAGCATTCAGTGATTACACACTTGCTCAGTGTGCACAAAAATATGTTAAGACATAATCCCACTGGAGCAGGGATAGGGTGATGCTTGATGTCTGAGGCAGATTCTGGAAATTTAGAAGCAGAAATCCCTCATTTGGGGTACCTATTCTTATTTTGAGGAATATCTTGGCACCTTGCAGCAGGTATTGAGCTGGGGCAGAGATTGGTAAAACCAAAAATACACTGCAGTGCATACAAAATGAAGGAGTGACACTTCATAAAGGCAGACATAGCCCCAAGATGACATCTAACATTTTATATTCATCATGGCAGCCATTTTATTGCTACTGTGCTGTTTCATTGCTGCTTATTGTCCCTCTGAGGATGTTACTCCTGACACAGCCACTCAGTAGCCAGAGATCCTCACATTACACTGAAACACTCTACAAAACAAACTGTGCATGTGCAAAGTAATTTTCTCATGCCAGCTCCCACTTTGTGCTGGCTATGAAAACAAGAGGTTTGATTGCTGACATTCAGAATACTTCCATGCATTTTTCACACTCAACTTGGTAATGTAAAGCAATTACGCAAGACATTAGATGATGAATTCATTGTGATTCTGACCCATCATGAGCTTCAATCACAGCAGCAGGGGAAACCAACGTAGTAAGTGCTAACTAGACGGTCAGGGCAACCTTGAAGACCCATAGGTAGATGACAGAAAAACAAAATAATGAAACAGTGGGACGTCTTTTCAGCTAATTACATGTTAATCGTCCCAAATCACATTTTCTGCCTACCTCAGCATTCCTTTACGTTCCAATAGTCACAATTCCACGTCCCGCATTGGAGGGAGACAAGCACGTTAAAATATGGTATTTTACATCTGAAAGAGCGTAGAATATGCAACAGTGCAGCACACGACGTATGATTGCCTGAAATAATACACATTTTTCTCTTACCGCAACCCACGCCCCTCCCCCAGCGCCTTTTGCGACGCGGCACCCAGGGATACCCATATGCACGGCCTCGAATATGCTTTTTGACCTCGTTGACGTGCTATGCTACTCAGTGTGTCATTGTTTCCGTCATGGAACGCTCGTGCGACAGTGCTCAACTGTAGTTCTTCAACCTACCGAGAGGTGACAGATCAGACGGCAACTGGCCGCTTAGCAAAAAACGCAGCGACCAGTTGAGTTATGTGCACGTATTTTAACCGTTCCTCGTAGTGTTCTTGCAGTAGCGTAGGTAGGGGGGCACAGGGGTGTGTGCCCCTCCCCCATAAGTTCCGAAGGGCCCTTCAGGTTACTCGGGACCTACGATTTATGGCCCGGTTTGAGGGCCCGAAAGGCCGGTCGAGTTCGCATTCAGGGACCCCGGCCAGCAGGGCCGGACATTCTCTCCCCTGAGTCGATAAGTGGTAAATTTCCGTTAGACACTATCAGCAACGCACAGTCGGCTCCGTAGCGGCATGGGCCTGAGGGCCCATTTCTCAATCACGGATAAAGCCGGAGCCAGCGATTTACATTGGTCGGGGCCCCAGCGTCTGTCCGGGCCTCACAGCTCCTAATAGTGTCTCTGTGTTTGTAAGCGGCCTCGATTCGGCCAGAGGCAATGTTCGAGGAGATCTGAAGAACCTGGAGGGTCTACCGGGTCTGACGATCGAGGGTCCGATTGTAGGGTTAGGGGCGTGAAGGGCTGGTCAGAGCCTTATTCGGGGGCCCCGTCGGCCCGCATGGCCGGGCACCCTAATGTCAGCCAGATGGCCGTGCGGGCTGATCAGGGGCTTTCTGAGTCGAAAAGGGCCTATATGTCGGTCAGACACCACCAGTAACGCACAGGCGGTTCCGTGGCGGTATGGGCCGAGGGCCCGCTTCCCCATTAGCTACAAAGCTGGAACCAGCGATTTACAGCGGTCGGTGCCCCTGTATTTGTAAGAGGTCCATAACGCCTAACAGAGGGCCCTGTGTTCACCAGGGGCCCGAGCCGACCACGGGCTATGTTCAATGAGGCCAGAAGAGGGACCCGGCAACGCACCAGGACCGACGATCAAGGGCCCGGTTGGAGGGCATAAGGGCCCGAAGGGCTGGCTGCATTTCACATAAAGAATCGCGAACCGTATGGTCGTGACCTAAGATATCACCTAGAGGTCGTCCGTTGAACAGTTTGAAAACACACTCAGACAATGCGCGTGTCTAAGTCGGGCAGAGACCACGGACACCGAACAATTGACTCGCTGCTAGTATGTGTGGTGTGATTATGCGGGGTGTGCCCCCTCGATCTCGCTGTCTTCCGAGCTCTACATCTGACTGGGTGCTGGGGGTCGTCACGTGAACGCGGGATCTCCTGATTCGCCGGGGGTCAAGGGTCGGCCGCTGAGGCGGCGGCAGGGACCCGACGCTCGCAGCCGGCCAGTCGGTTGCTGGACCAGTCCAGGCAAATACGCGCTACGTTCTCAACAGTACGAGCCCTGGGGGCCATTTCCCAAGCAGGGGCATGATTAGGAGCCGCAAGTTGCATTGGTGGGGTCCCTGCAACAATGCGGGACTCCTGTATCGGCCAGTGCCCAACGAGGTGTTCTGCGGCAACAAGGGGCCCCGAGTCGGGCAGGAGGATCATTTGTTCCACAGGGGAGGCAACGGGCCCCCGAAAGACAGATGGCCTCTTGTGCTGGTCGGGACCCTCTGACAATGAAAGGGAACCTGAAATACACATGATGAGTGTCCACATTAACACAATGGAAGAGTCCTGTGCCAGTCAGGGCCCCAAGACCAAACGGTGGGTCTTCCAACCCAGTTCCGGCATGGGCGCGTGGAACAGAACTGGAGTCTACGGGGCCAATATTGTACCACCTGTGGCGATCAGGGAGTTGTTACGTCGATGAGGGTCCCTGCGTCGATCAGGGCCTAACTGCCCAATCCCAATGGCCTATTAGTGTTGAAAAGAATGTGTCGAAATGAGTTCTAAAAACGAACAAGGCTATCCCATATTTGCCTAAGGACGTTCATTTCTTTGCTGAATCCGATTAGTGGACCAAATTACACCAAAAGGTTTGAGCCTGCGCGCCCGAAATCTCAAGAGCGATGACAGCGATGGTCTGGGTTGCAGTTTCCGTAAACTCGAACGGCCTTAGCTACCGCAAGTACCACCACACGCCCTGCGCCAGAACGGCCGCCGTGAAACAATGGGCCGAATATTTTTTTTTTCAAACTGAAGGTCGCAGCGTTCAGAGATAAGACTGGGCGTATCTGTCTTTCAACTTTGCAGGCTGTCCTCTGGACAGATGAACGTTTACAGAAGCACGAGAAGGAAGAGGTTCTTCCTTTACCCTTCCAGTTCCATCACCAGATTCTAGCCAGCACCACTTAGATGTGCTGTAAATGCCAATCCGTTCTTAACATAAAAGTAAAAATTGCACGTCCAAAATATATGCCCGGAATAGCTTCTAAATGTACAATTTGATTCCCTAAAGCTTTCAAAGATATTCTTTTCAGAACTGTCATCCTTTTTATCGAGGCGTTGACCACGGCTATATTAATCGCCAAGCCAACCCTGCACGGCCCAAGGAGACTGCAACGCCTGACGTCGAGAGTTGCTTCCATTATTTGCGAGCATGCAGGTTCAACACTACGCTACGCACTTCGTGTCACTAATCGATGCTGGCTGAAAATTGAATATTTCCAGACCAGCATTGCTCGGCCAAGTTATGCAAGTTCGTGGCCCATCTCGATTTCTAATTTACGTTCGCGGGGTCCTTAATATGTCTGAAGAACTCAGATACAAGCTCTAACAAAGCTTCTGAGTTCTCTTCAATTAGAAACAGCTCACTGAACCAATGTCAAACGAAGAGCGCCGGCGATTTATTTCATGCAGTCGCTTAAATCATGATTTGTCGGTTTATTGACTATGAAATTCAGGTAGAATCTATCTTGCGGTAGCTTCTGGCTTCTATTCCAGTTAAAGAAGGCAAAAATATGTTTAAAATGTCAAAAAGATGCCTGTAGTAGGAAATGGGCCATTTCCGGCGTTTTGGGGGCCTCTTGGCCATCAGGGGACCTTTGTCAACCCTGCGCACCCCTTGCCAAGGCTCTGGCTGCGCGCCTGTGCTCTTGGCACTTGCATACCTACCCGTGCGTTTAAGATGTCTTTTTTGTATTGGCTACTCGGCCGTAACAATCGTCTTAAGTTTTTCGATTACAAGCCTGATTTCCGTTAAAACCAGGAAGAACGTAAAGCTTCTTGAATTGTGTAGCACTCAACGTACTCTTGCAAAACTCATCTGAATATCGTATCCCTCTTTTCAGGCTCATCCTGCATCTTCGTGACGCCCTGTCTATCCGAGGCAGGCTATATGCGCCAGTGCCAAGCAGGCCGAGAGGCCTGTTGGAAGGGGGGGCCCCGCCCGGGCGCCCAGTGTACGCTCCGAAGGGTCCTTGCGCGGGTTAACACGCGCCAATGGGGGGGAGTCAATATGACCCCCAAACGGTTTTTCCAAAATGGTTTCCGAACGGCATGGTGCAGCGGCGCCCCAATTTTGCATGGCTGTAGACAATTAAATAGCGGATCGCTTGGCATAAAAACTTAGTTACTACCTTGTAAGGTCGTTGACCTTCAGCAGGTCAAAGTCAGGCCACGGATTCAACGGAGTCAATCTCTATGGAATCGTGCAACCTGATGCAACAACGAAGTGTTAGACGAAGTCATACGTCTCTGAGATAACTTTCTTGGGCAGCACAACAATTAAATGGACAAATTCTATTGACCTTAGGATCAAATATGAATGTCACACCAAGGTCAAAAGCAGCCTGCTTTCATTACTCTAAGGCTTGCTGTATGGAGTAAGTTTTTGGTGCTCGTTTTAAATTGATAGATAACGGGAACCACAGCATGCGTCTTCCACAGACTTCTTAAATGTTAGAAAAGGTCGCTGACCTAAAATGGCTCAGGTCAGCACCCTTTTTAGCAACAGCAGCAACATACTGCCCAGCGTAATGTTTGTTGCCTATTCAAATACGAAACTTAAAGCAGTCTTGTATGATTTTGGTCAACGTGGCCTTCAAAAGTTCAAACAAGGTCACTGACCTCAAGAGAACATGCGAAATTTTGCTTGGAATAGTATGTACATTTTGGAGACATTTTGAAGGCCAACCTGGAGTAAAAAACATCACCACGTTTAAGCCACCACGCTAGGAACGCTACGCAGCACATGCTCTGCTTTTCTCTGAAGTTCGCTCTGAAAATATTTTGCTCCAATTCTTTTTCTCCCTGAAATAGACTGAAGGCTGAATTGACCCCAAACGGTAGACGGGAGTGGTGCAGGAGATCTTTCGGCGTGTTTGCAGTCACCCCTCTTGAGTCTACATTGGCAACGAGGTGGTTGCACGCCTGTGCTAGCTCTGGCGTACTGAATACTTGTCCGCCCACTAGACGTGCGAAACCTTCCCGTGCCTGGGGTAGCGGATAACTGTCCGAGTTTCACACATCGATTGGCTGTGAGCTTGAAACCTGCACAAACCCGGAAAGTGCCGCTTTCTTTTTCAATACAGGAACCAGCGGTGCTTCCCAGCTGCTTTGTGCCACCGGCCCTAGAACACCAGCGACGACGTCTTACCGCAGCTGCCCCTCGACCCTTTCCTTGAAGGTGTGCGGCAGTGAACGAGCTCTGAAGATCCTGAGCTGTACACTTTTGTCAATGTCAAGACGCAACTTGACGTCCTTGACATTGCTCAATCCAGGCTCAAACACCAGATGATACTTTTTTTCAAATCAGCTACTGTAGCATTTCCCACAGCATGCACTGCCGTCCAGTCGATTTGAATCCATTTTAACTAGCCTCGAGCCTTCAAGTTCGTACGGTGCCCTTGCCCCACCGCGATCTTGAGCTCATCGTACTTTTAGCCCTTGTACGAAACATATGTTCTGAAT